TCTACCGGCATACATGCAGCGTATTATGGCGCTCGGCTATCGGCTGGGCTCTCCACGGACTCAGTTGTGAGGAGGGCGGACTTTGGACGTTTACCGATTCAGAGGCACTTGCTATTCTAAACCCGGGTGCATCAACGTTATTTTGCCGCCTGCTCTGTTTTACAGTAGACGTCGCAGCCTGGGCAGTGCAAGGTGGCATGGTGGGAGCACTCTATCGGCAGCGTTTCTCACCAATGGTGATCGACTCAGGAGGAAAACTATCATTGGTGCAAAACTCCGCGAAAGGTCTCATCCCCTGCCTTCTAATACCGCCTGATTGATTGTGACGATATCAGATGTATGTCTGTGTTTCGGCTAGGCAGCTGAATCTGCTGACCACCTCCCTGACGCTGAAGGGTATAGGGCTCACACATCGTAGTTGGGAAACTTTGAGAGGGATCAAAGACAGGCAAAATAACTCAAAAGAAACCTATTCTTATTTATTTAGCCGCTCGTCGAATCGCTCAATAACGAAGCATCAGTAAATCAAGCTCATGAATTAGTCAAACGACGAGTCAATCACTATGAATCAATAATTAACGCGCATGTGAGGATCTTTCCTTTCCGAGTTTGGGACCCGTCCATGAGATGGAGAATCAGCCTACTTTCATATAAAGACACAGTCCGCGACTGCGAGTCCGGAGCGGAAAACAAAAGGGCACGTGGAAGTGGAGTTGCTGCTAGGGTGCACTGACTGGTAAGAGTTAGCCGCCATGCAGCGACTGTGATGTGAGATGAGAAGGGCTGAGACTGACCACCATGGGCGGAACCTGATCATTGCGGGTCACATCTGGCTGCCTTGCCACTCACTTTTGAGTTGTAAAGGTGGTACTTCGTCAAAGATTTCGGATTCAGGAAGGAGAGGAGTTCTAAAGATCAGGCCATTGGTGGACTGTGTCTTTAATATTGGCAGTTCACCATAGCTACCTTACGCAAATCCGTTAATTATGCATTTTTTTCTTCAGAGAGAGTTACCGGGCGATCAGAAATTCTTCACGGAAGAGCGAATCACACTTCGTGTAAGTTCTGATGTCCAAATCCCGGGAATCCTTTACTGTTTCGCAAAATAGAGAGTGCACTAGTATAGCCCTTTGAAAGACGTTTCCTTTGATACTTACCATTAGTAGTTGAGTGGGGGTGAAAATATGAGGTATT